CCTGGTTTTAGTCCTGGTTTTAGTCCTGGTTTAGTCCTGGTTTAGTCCTGGTTTAGTCCTGGTTTAGTCCTGGACTGGGTTAGTCCCGAAATAAAAAAATGTATAAATGTGTTTTTTTGTGTGTGTGTTATTGTCCCAACAACACATAAAAACAGGTTTTATAATAAAGAAACTCACATACAGAAACAGTAAAGTTAGAGATTAAAAATGAGATTAACGCGATTAAAAAACATAATGCGCTAAATATGACTGTAATTAATTAATCGCAATTAACGCGATCATTTGACACCCCTAATAATAATACAGACTTTTGACTCCATTTTGTGTCGTTTTAGAGCATTTTGACCATAATTTAACCCATAAAAGAATCATTAATATCTGAAAAACTAAAGCAGCACAAACAAAACTTTTTACAGCACGAATGATTGACACAGTTTTTCTGCAGGTTTGTGTCTGGGGGCCAATTCAACAGTTTCAGATACGTAATAGTTCTGAGAGCTTTGGCCACGCCCCCTTTTCAGTCGACCAATCGATGAGCAGCACACGTCTTAGTTTAGTTTAGAACTTCTTCAGTCGTGAGGATCAGGTCTGACCGAACCTGCGGGTCAGAGTTCGTCCCCCGCGTCTCGTCCGCGCGCAGACGTCCACGGTTGTTGACAAAACAGAAGCCGGTGCTGGGTTCATATTTACGACTCCGGACATGAACGTGTGAAGCGGCAGATGGAAATTAAAATTCATGAATCTCATCTGAGCGTTTCGTAATCTGCTCAAACATGTCGCTGGGAACTGTCCACACGAACACGACGCTCTCCAGACCTCGGACGCTCTGTCGCTCTGTCACACGCTTTTCTCTGCGGAGATGTTATCGCTCTGTCTGGAATGTTTCACAGTACGGCATTAAACGCTTCTATTTTTACAGAGACCAAACCAGACCAAGTTACAGATGTGGAGGGTTAGGGTTAATCAGAAGGTGTTTTTATAAGTATTTTTTAGTGTTGTCAATCGATTAAAACATTTCATCATGATTAATCTCATGAATGTCATAGTTAACTCGCGATTAATTACAAATTAATCACATTTTTGTCCCTTAAATCACCATTTTAATTCTCTTATCAACACAGAAAAGTGGACAGGCTTTGTGGAAATGTTTTTTTTTTTTTTTTTTATTGCAACTGTGTTTGCGATTCGATTAAATTTTCTTAATTGATCGTCGGGAGAATTAACGCGCGATTTTCGATTAATCATGAACATTTTTATATTCAAAGCTGAGGAGGCTCAGGCGTCTGTTCTGATGTCTCCTGGACGTCTCCCTCAGGAGGTGTTCATGTCCCACCCCCCGGGAGGCCCCAGGACACACTGGAGGGACTCTGTCTCTGGACTGGCCTGGGAACACCTCGAGGTCCACCCTGGAGGAGCTGGAGGAAGTGTCTGGGGTGATTGGATGTTAAAAGTATCATCATTATTATTACTGTGACTAATCTGCATAAATAAACTCAACTTTACAACAAATAAAAAAAACGACTCTAGATCCACATCAGCTGTTTGACTTTGTCAAGTGTTTCATGAAGATTTGACACTTTTGTTTATGTTTTACAGAAGGATCCAGTCAAGTGTTAACGGAGGGAAACAGGGGCAGATTTTTGACATTCAAATGTCTCTTATTCAGAAACTAGAGGAACTATTGAAATAAGTAAAGTATCAGAATGTAGGAAAGAGTTACACTCCAACAGGGTCAAGTTAAACCTGTGAGATTCTTTCAAGTTCAAGACAAAAAATGTAAAAACTCATGTCGGTAACGGAGGGAATGAAATATGCAGCACTTTTTGGTCAATAAATCCAAACAGTGATAACTCTTGGTTCTCACTTCCATATCCTTAACAAACTGGTTTGAATATTTGCTTCATATAGTTTTCTACCATATGGTACAAGATTAGGTTGAAAAACCTCTGACTTTTTGACTCATGAGATTTTTTATTAAGAAAGTTCATGGTAACGGAGGGAAAATTGTACAAACAAGTAGAAGGTGCAGGATTTTACATCATTTGTCACTTTTTTCTTCTGAATATTTTAATATTACTTCAAAATGAAAGGAAACTATTTCTATAAAATATGTCAGTCCTTCCAAGAACATTTTTATCATTTTAAATACATTTTTATTTTATTTTTTTTTTAATCCTGTCCCTTCATCAACAGTTCAAAGATGGAATAACACAAGATATGATGAAATACATCCATTTATTGACATGATTTTTGTGTCTTTGAAATTTGGGAAATAATTTTTGTTCCATGTTTCATTCATGGTCTGTTTAAAACATATGGAACTTTAGAACCAAAAATGGAACAGAAAAAAGGTCAACAGTTTGATAAACTAGAGTACATATGTATCTGTTCAATACACTTTTATATCAGATGAATTAACTTGAATTTTTGACCTTGTTGTTTACTTCTGCTTGACCGGGACCAGAAATTAAACTTAAAACCACAAGGTTCTGTGAAAAACCTGAACGCAGAAGGAAGTGAGGAAAAACTCTGGATCACTACAAACTGTTTTTTTAAAAAAATGATTTTAAGACAGAAAAAATCATGTACAGAGACTTTAAATTTGTGCAAAAACGACATTGAGACACGAGAAATGCCAAGGTCAAATATAACAGAGAGAAGAGAGAGAAACAGATGAAGTGAACAGATCTGATGGTCGACTTCACTGTGAGGACTCAGTTTTACTGTTTTAAAATCTCATTCATAACTAAATTGTTCATAACTAAAGCAGGTCTAAACTAGTTCTTCAACAGGTCTAAACCAGGACTAAAGCAGGACTAAAGCAGGACTAAAGCAGAACTAGACCAGGATTAAAGCAGAGCCAGACCAGGACTATCAGTACAGGTCTAAAATTAGAAAACACTAAGCCAAGACCTACAGGAGTCTAAACCAGGACTAAAGCAGGACCAGGAGTTAAGAAACCAGGTCTGAACCAGGTCTGAACCAGGTCTGAACCAGGTCTAAGCCAGGACTGAACCAGGACTAAACCAGGACTAAACCAGGACTAAACCAGGACTAAACCAGGTCTAAACCAGGTCTGAACTAGGTCAAAACCAGGTCTACATCAGGTCTAAAACAGATCTAAACCAGGACTAAAACAGGACCAAGAGAAAAGAAACCAGGACTGAACCAGGACTTAAACACAGACTAAACAAGAATTAAATCAGATCTAAACCAGGTCTAAACAGTGACAAGCACATAAACCAGGACTTACACCTGGACTAAACTAGAATCAAACCAGGTCTAAATCAGAGCTAAACCGGGTTTAAACCGGATCTAAACTGGGTATAAACCAGGTCTAAATCAGGTCTGAACTAGGTTTTAAAAATCAAGTCTAAAACAGATCTAAACCAGGTCTAAACCAAGTCTAAACTGGGTCCAAACCGGGTCTAAACCGGGTCTAAACTGGATTTAAACTGGTCTAAACCAGGTCTAAAGGACCAGGTCTAAACCAGATCTAAACCAGGTCTAAATCAGGACTAAAGTGTAAATCAATAAGTGTGTCGTGCTGTTTCTCTCGGGATCTTGGAGCTGTTTCTATGGAGTTAAAAACATCAAAGATCAAATGAAAATCAAAATAGAGTAAAAAAAAAAAAAAAAAAAATTCAGTAATAAAATAAATAAATTCTTCATTTCATCAAACATCAGGATCCATGAGTGGAGTTTAAAATGTTGTTCTGATCCATGTGCGTCCACTTTAAACCCAAGTGACGCGTAAAGTCGATAAAAACACGAACAGTGAAAACACAAAAATAAAACACAGAAAATATGAAATAAAACACGATAAAAACACGATCAAAAACATGACAAAAAACCCTATAAAACCACAAAAATACAACAGACTCACTTTGCTCGAACTCAGAAATTACTCACGACCAAACCAGGACTAAACCAGGACTAAACCAGGACTAAACCTGGACTAAACCAGGACTAAACCAGGACTAAACCAGGACTAAACCAGGACTAAACAGGACTAAACAGGACTAAACCAGGACTAAACCAGGACTAAAGCAGAGCCAGACCAGGACAATCAGTACAGGTCTAAAATTAGAAAACACTAAGTCAAGACCTACAGGAGTCTAAACCAGGACCAAAGCAGGACCAGGAGTAAAGAAACCAGGTCTGAACCAGGTCTGAACCAGGTCTGAAACCAGGACTGAACCAGGACTGAACCAGGACTGAACCAGGACTGAACCAGGACTGAAACACAGACTAAACAAGAATTAAATCAGATCTAAACCAGATCTAAACAGTGACAAGCACATAAACCAGGACTTACACCCGGACTAAACCAGAATTAGACCAGGTCTAAACCAGGTCTAAATCAGATCAAAACCGGGTCTAAACCGCGTCTAAACCGGGTCTAAACCAGGTCTAAAACAGATCTAAATCAGTTCTAAACTAGGTCCCATCCAGGTCTAAATCAGGTTTAAACAGAACTAAACCAGGACTAAACCAATTCTAAACTAGGTCCAAACCAGGTCCAAACCAGGTCCAAACCAGGTCTAAACCGGGTCTAAACGGGGTCTAAACTGGATTTAAACTGGTCTAAACCAGGTCTAAAGGACCAGGTTTAAACCAGATCTAAACCAGGTCTAAATCAGGACTCAAGTGTAAATCAATAAGTGTGTCGTGCTGTTTCTCTCGGGATCTTGGAGCTGTTTCTATGGAGTTAAAAACAACAAAGATCCAAAGATTTGAAACGAGAATCAAATAAAGTCCAAATAAATTATTAAACAATAAATACAATAAATATTTTTTTCATCACTGATCCATGAGTGGAGTTTAAAATGTTGTTCTGATCTATGTGCGTCCACTTTAAACCCAAGTGACGCGTAAAGTCGATAAAAACACGAACAAAGTGAAAACGCCAAGATAAAACACAGAAAATATGAAATAAAACAGGATAAAATCAGGATAAAACCAGAATAAAACCAGAATAAAAGCACCGCCGTACTCACTCTGCTCGTCGAACTTGCGGATGATGGTGTCCAGGTAGGTGTTCTGGAGCGCCACATGACCGCGTCGCACGGGCATGTTTCTGCGGCCGCGGCTCGGCTCCGGCCCGGGGTCATGAACCGACGACTTCCCCGACGCGATAAAGCGATCGATAAATAATAAATACGCAGCCGATTAATCTTTCACAAGCGGATTGTGGCGGACGTGGCCGTGCGTCAAAAGTCCGGCGCTCGGGAGGAGACGGAAGACGAAAGATTAAAGGTGGAAAAAAGTCAGAAACGGGGGAGAAAAGTGCGCGGGGCGAGGCTGGACGCGCCGCGGCACCTGTGGAGCTCTGAGGCGGGGAGCTGCGGGTGTCGGAGGCGGGGAGCTGTGGATGTCGGAGGCGGGGAGCTGTGGATGTCGGAGGCGGGGAGCTGTGGATGTCGTGGCCGCGCACAGATGCTCATGAGGCGGCCGCGCGTCAAGCTCAGATCCCGGGGGACGGACCGGAAGCGCGGAGCCACGTTTCAAAATAAAATGTTTTTTTTTTGGGGGGGGGGGGGGGGGGGGGGGGGGGGGTTGGGGGTTTGGGTCTGGAGACGCAGGGACCAGGACTAAAACAGGACTGAAACCAGGACTAAACCAGGACTAAACCAGGACTAAACCTAGGACTAAAACAGGACTAGGACTAAACCAGGACTAAACCAGGACTAAACAGGACTAAACCAGGACTAAACCAGGACTAAGGACTAAAACAGGACTAAAACAGGACTAAACAGGACTAAAACAGGACTAAAAACCAGGACTAAAAACCAGGACTAAACAGGACTAAACAGGACTAAACCAGGACTAAAACAGGACTAAACCAGGTCTAAACCAGGTCTAAAGCAAGACTAAACCAGGTCTAAACCAGGACTAAACCAGGTCTAAACCAGGTCTAAAGCAGGACTAAACCAGGTCTAAACCAGGTCTAAAGCAGGACTAAACCAGGTCTAAACCAGGACTAAACCAGGTCTAAACCAGGAATAAACAAAGACCAAAGCAGTAAACTGGGTCCACAGGTGGATGGGAGGGCATCAGGTGTTTTATAGTGACAGTCTGTCCGGACACGGTACTTGGGTCTCAGGTCTCTGGTCTCAGGTCTTTGGTCTCTGGTCTCTGGTCTCTGGTCTCAGGTCTCAGGTCTCTGGTCTCAGGTCTCTGGTCTCAGGTCTTTGGTCTCAGGTCTCAGGTCTCAGGTCTCAGGTCTCTGGTCTCTGGTCTCTGGTCTCAGGTCTCAGGTCTCAGGTCTCAGGTCTCTGGGTCTCGGGTCTCGGGTCTCGGGTCTCTGGTCTCTGGTCTCTGGTCTCTGGTCTCAGGTCTCAGGTCTCAGGTCTCAGGTCTCTGGTCTCAGGTCTCTGGTCTCTGGTCTCTGGTCTCTGGTCTCTGGTCTCTGGTCTCAGGTCTCTGGTCTCAGGTCTCTCTGGTCTCAGGTCTCAGGTCTCTGGTCTCTGGTCTCTGGTCTCTGGTCTCTGGTCTCAGGTCTCAGGTCTCAGGTCTCTGGTCTCAGGTCTCAGGTCTCTGGTCTCTGGTCTCTGGTCTCAGGTCTCAGGTCTCAGGTCTCAGGTCTCAGGTCTCTGGTCTCAGGTCTCTGGTCTCTGGTCTCTGGTCTCAGGTCTCAGGTCTCAGGTCTCAGGTCTCTGGTCTCGGGTCTCGGTCTCGGGTTCTCTGGTCTCGGTCTCGGTCTCGGGTCTCTGGTCTCTGGTCTCGGTCTCGGGTCTCGGGTCTCGGGTCTCGGGTCTCTGGTCTCTGGTCTCTGGTCTCGGGTCTCAGGTCTCTGGGTCTCGGGTCTCGGGTCTCGGGTCTCGGGTCTCTCTCTGGTCTCTGGTCTCTGGTCTCAGGTCTCTGGTCTCGGGTCTCGGGTCTCGGGTCTCGGGTCTCTGGTCTCTGGTCTCTGGTCTCTGGTCTCTGGTCTCTGGTCTCAGGTCTCTGGTCTCTGGTCTCTGGGTCTCTGGTCTCTGGTCTCAGGTCTCAGGTCTCTGGTCTCTGGTCTCTGGTCTCTGGTCTCTGGTCTCTGGGGTCTCTGGTCTCTGGTCTCTGGTCTCTCAGGTCTCTGGTCTCTGGTCTCGGTCTCTGGGTCTCGGGTCTCTGGTCTCTGGTCTCTGGTCTCTGGTCTCAGGTCTCTGGTCTCGGGTCTCGGGTCTCGGGTCTCTGGTCTCTGGTCTCTGGTCTCAGGTCTCAGGTCTCTGGTCTCTGGTCTCTGGTCTCAGGTCTTTGGTCTCAGGTCTCAGGTCTCAGGTCTTTGGTCTCTCAGGTCTTTGGTCTCAGGTCTTTGGTCTCTGGTCTCAGGTCTTTGGTCTCAGGTCTTTGGTCTCAGGTCTCAGGTCTCAGGTCTTTGGTCTCAGGTCTCAGGTCTCTGGTCTCGGGTCTTGGGTCTTTGGTCTCAGGTCTCTGGTCTCAGGTCTTTGGTCTCTGGTCTCAGGTCTGGTCTCAGGTCTCAGGTCTCTGGTCTTTGGTCTCTGGTCTCAGGTCTTTGGTCTCAGGTCTCTTGGTCTCAGGTCTCAGGTCTTTGGTCTCAGGTCTCTCTCAGGTCTCTGGTCTCTGGTCTCTGGGTCTCTGGTCTTGGTCTCTGGGTCTTTGGTCTCTGGTCTCTGGTCTTTGGTCTCAGGTCTTTGGTCTCTGGTCTCGGGTCTCAGGTCTCAGGTCTCTGGTCTCAGGTCTCAGGTCTCAGGTCTTTGGTCTCTGGTCTCTTCTGGTCTCAGGTCTCTGGTCTCTGGTCTCTGGTCTTTGGTCTCAGGTCTCTGGTCTCTGGTCTCTGGTCTCTGGTCTCTCTCGGTCTTTGGTCTCAGGTCTCTTTGGTCTCTGGTCTCAGGTCTCAGGTCTCAGGTCTTTGGTCTCTGGTCTCTGGTCTTTGGTCTCAGGTCTCTGGTCTCTCTCTGGTCTCTGGTCTCTTGGTCTCAGGTCTTGGTCTCTGGTCTTTGGGTCTCAGGTCTTTGGTCTCAGGTCTCAGGTCTTTGGTCTCTGGTCTTGGGTCTGGGTGACAGTGACACAGTACAGACTCTGTAGCTCCACATCAGCGACACTTCGCTCCAAAAATAGCCTCAGCTCCGACACTCGGCGGCGGATTGTATCGCTGCAACTGTGCGCGATAACCTGGAGCGCGAGGGGGGGGCGAGCACCAGGGACCATCCAGGACCATCCAGGACCATCCAGGACCATCCAGGACCAAGTGGGACAGAATTGATTAAATGAGTTTATGTTGGAACCGAATCAGAGACGGACGATAAACAGAAGCGAAACCACGTGAATCTGGAGAAGGTCATAAGGAAGGTCCTGGAGGAGGTCCTGGAGGAGGTAATGGGCCTGGAGAAGGTCCTGGAGGAGGTCCTAAGGGAGGCCCTGGAGGAGGTCCTGGAGCAGGTCTTGGGGGAGGTTCTGGAGAAAATCTTGGGGAAGGTCCTGGGGAAGGTCCTGGAGAAGGTCCTGGAGGAGGTCCTGGAGGAGGTAATGGGCCTGGAGAAGGTCCTGGAGGAGGTTCTGGAGCAGCTCAGGCCCCAGGACAAAGTCTTTCAAAGGATCTATGTTCTGCGTTTTAATTTTTGGATCATTTGACTAAACCAGGACTAAATCAGAATTAAACAAGAACTAAACCAGGACTAAAACAGGTTTAAACCAGGTCTAAACCAGGTCTAAACCAGGACTAAACCAGGTCCAAACCAGGTCCAAACCAGGACTAAACCAGGTCCAAACCAGGACTAAACCAGGTCCAAACCAGGTCCAAACCAGGACTAAACCAGGTCCAAACCAGGACTAAACCAGGTCCAAACCAGGAAACCAGGACTAAACCAGGTCCAAAAGGTCTAAACCAGGTCTAAACCAGGTCCAAAACCAGGACTAAACCAGGACTAAACCAAGGTCTAAACCAGGATTAAACCAGGTCCAAACCAGGACTAAACTAAACCAGGTCCAGGACTCCAAACCAGGTCTAAACCAGGACTAAACCAGGTCTAAACCAGGACTAAAATGTCAAAATGTATCATTTTAGGTCTAAACCTCTGGCGTTTCTCAGCCTGAGGTTTGTGTTTTGTTTGTGCCGTTGTGCCGTTGGGCCTGACACTCCAGCGGGTCGTGTGAGGGTTCTGTTCCCGCGGGTCGGAGGTGTGAGCGAGATAAACGCGGGTCACACTGGGCGGGGGTCAGATTCCTGCCGACGTGTCTCTGAGCAGCGCACGTTTGGAACAGAACGGAGAGACGAGCGGAGCAGAAGAAGAAGAAGAAGAAGAAGAAGAAGAGGAGCTGTGAGCCTCTTCACACCTCCGTCCGTTCATCCCTCGCTCTTTCACACCTCCCCTCCTCTTCCTCTTCTCTCGTTCACACCTAAACCCCCTCCCTGCTCTTTTTCACCCCGTCCCTCGCTCTTCTTTCACACCTAACACCCTCCCTCTCTCTCTCTCTCTTTTCTCCCTCTCTCTTCTCTCTCTCTCTCTTTTCTTTCATTCTCCTCTTTTCTCTCTCTCTCTCTCTCTCTCTCTCCTCTCTCTTTCTCTCTCTCTCTCTCTTCTTCTCTCACTCTGTCTTTTTTCTCTCTCCTCTCTCTTCTTTCACACATACTCCCCTCTCTCTCTCTCTCTCTGGGTTTGTTTTTCAGTCTCTCTCTCTTCATTCACTCTGTCTTTTCCTCATCTCCTCTTTCTTTCCTTCTTTCTCTCTCTCTCTCTCTCTCCGACCCTTCTCTTTCTCCATCTCTTCATTCACGTTGTCTTTTCCTCCATCTCATCTTTCTTTCTTTCTTTTCTTTTTCTTTCACTCTCCTCTCTCTCTCTCTCTTCTTTCACCTCTGTTTCTCCCTCTCTCTTCTATCCCTCTCTTCTCTCTCTGTCTCTCTTTCTCTCTTCTTTCACTCTTCTTTCACTCACCCTCTCTCTCTCTCTCTCTCTCTTCCCTCTCCTCTCTCTCTTCTTTCACTCTCTCCCTCTCTTCTCTCTCTCGTTTCATCCTCTCCCTCTCTCTTCTCTCTCTCTTCTTTCATCCTTTCTCACTCTTTTTGCTTTCACTCTCCTCTCTCCTTCTCTCTGTCTCTTCTTTCTCTCTCTTCTTTTACTCTCTCTCTCCCTCCCTCCCTCTCTCACTCTCTCTTCTTTCATTCTCCTCTTTTCTCTCTCTCTCTCTTTTCTCCCTCTCCTTTCTCTCTCTCTCTCTTTTCTTTCACTCTGTCTTTTTTCTCTCTCCTCTCTCTTCTTTCACACATATCTCCCTCTCTCTCTCTCTCTCTCTCTCTCTCTTTCACCTCTGTCTCTCCCTCTCTCTTCTATCCCTCTCTCTCTCTCTGTCTCTCTTTCTCTCTTCTTTCACTCTCTCTCTCTCTCTCTCTCTCCTCTCTCTCTCTCTCTCTCTCTCTCTCTCTCTCTCATCCTTTCTCACTCTTTTTGCTTTCACTCTCCTCTCTCCTTCTCTCTGTCTCTTCTTTTCTCTCTCTTCTTTCACTCTCTCCCTCTCTTCTCTCTCGTCTCACTCTCTCACTCTCTCTTCTTTCATTCTCCTCTTTTCTCTCTCTCTCTCTTTTCTCCCTCTCCTCTCGCTCTCTTTTCTTTTACTCTCCCTCTTCTCTCTCTCTTCTTTCACTTTCTCTCCCTCTCTTCTTCTTTCACTCTCTCTCTCTCTCCCCTTTTATCCCTCTCTCGCTCTCTCTTCTTTCATTCTCCCTCTTTTCAATCTCTCTCGCTCTCTTCTCTCTTCTTTTCTCTTTCACACATAAACAAAGTTTCATCTGTTATTTTATTTCACGATTTCGTCCGTAAATAAAATCTGAACATGAATAAAACACAAAACTCTTCTCCAGATTCTCCGTTTTTATCTCCTCCAGACGTCGCTGAGCTTCATTTGACTGGATCCGGACTGTGTGGGCGAGTTTTTCTGACCGTTAAAAAACAAACAAGAAACAAAAACCACAACATTTCACTTTTACCACGATAAAAGTTTATTAAAGTTTCTGCAGTTTCTACATTTGTAAAAACAGATTTACTGAAGCAGCAGAGGGAGAAACATCTACGACACGTAAAGAGGGACTGCGGAACTTTTCTGAGCTTTAACTCTTTAACACGTCACAGATTTTGGTTACGTTTTATTGAGCTTTTTCACAACGACCTGAAGTTCCGCGCTGAAGGTTTGTGGAACGTCCGGTGAATGATTTATTAATTTCAAATCACGTTTTCGTTCACAAATCTGCCCCAAAAACAAATATTCAACCGACAAAATCCACAAAGAAGAAGAACGACGACGCTTTAGTGACATAAGAACAAAAAACAACAAAAAAAACAAACATTTTGGTCGTGAATAAATCAGGAGTCTCCAGATAGTTGTGGATAAATTGTTCATGTTAGAATATTTATCCTTTGTGGAGTTTGTTGGTTGAAGATTTGGTGATTTTTATGTGAGATTTACGAAGCTGCTGGAGAATACGACACATTTACAAACCAAAAACCATAAAACGGAAGTTCCGCAAACCTACGGCGCGACACTTCGGCCGTTGAGAAAAAGGTTTATTTTTTTTGAAACGCTGAATTCATCCAAAACATTGTGTTAACATGTTTCTTCTTCTTCTTCTTAGACTCTTTTTTCGGTCCGAGAGTTCGTGTTCAGCCCCGACACTTTCCGCTTCGTGACGTGACGTTGCTGCGACGTGATTGGCCGGCGCGTTTAAACGTTAAAAGTTTTGACGTCGTTTTTTTTTTTTTTTTTTGTCTGCGAAAACGGGACGATTCCGCTCTGTCGGGTCTCAAAACGAACTCTTGGTCTGAAAAAAGACGCCGATCACGTAAATCTTCGCTTTCGTTTCGCCGTTCTGAGTCTCCATTCCGTTTGCTCTCTTCGCTAATTCACCCCCCCTTCAGAGCTGGGAGAGATCGCTAGATTACGCAAACATGCACGGATGTCTCTAAAAGTTCTTCACGTGTGTTTTTGACGAGGGAACGACGTTAGAACGTGAGAAAAAGCTCCAAAAAGTCAAAAAAAAAAATTGCGTGATCCCCCCTCTTTAATCAAAATTCTAAAGAAAAAAAAAAAACTAATTCTAAAATTCTCATAAATTCTCCGTAAATCCACGTAAACATTCGCTGTCCCTCTTGATTTCAGTTCAGTTTTTTCATTTTTCACGTTCAGTTTTGAGTCAAACCACCGACCTGCGACGACACACGGCTCCAAATCCAAATCCGAAAATCTAAAACCTCGTCTAAAGCCGCGCTGTGTAACTTTTCCGCTTCGTGTTTCTACGGAAAAGCCGTTGCTCTGCTTCAAATGTTCC